TTTTTTTTTTTTTTTTGGTACCGGGAATTGAACTCGGGTCTTTGCGCTTGCAAGGCAGGCGGCAGAACCACTGAGCTATATCCTCGGCCCAATATGTATACTTTTTAAAGATGTATTCTAAAAAAACATGTATTGTTAATTCATTAACATGAATTTACAATCAGTAACATTATAACTCAAGCCTGAATGAAGCTGTTCTAACAAACATATTTTCTCCATGCAGCATGTCACAGAAGTTTTGCACTTAGGGAACATTAGCTCTTCAGCACTATTCTTGGGCCAATTAAAGGGTGAAATCACTCACATGTAGCAGCACATTCCTGTAATCCTAGCACTAGGGAGGCTGTGGCAGGATGTTCACAAGTTCAAGGCCGCACTCTATGCTACATAGCTAGATTGAAGCCAGCCTGCGCTACATAGTGAGATCCTATCTCAGTCCCCTCACACACACACAAAAGTGAAATACCATAACATTAAATGGAGCAAAAAAGGACACATGTAAATAGGAGAGCTGAATAAACCTCAGCAGAGACTGGACAAGTTGTGTTTCTTGCTATTCTACACATGGCTGCAAAAGCACTACAGAAAGTAAGCAATATTTTCTGTGTTCATTCACCAGTTAATTAGCAGGTACCATACACCAGAACTTTACTATTACACACCCATTAAAAAAATCCAGTTTTGCTCTCTTGGACCATCAAATAGTAAGTCTGTGACATATTTGCCATACTTGCTGGATATTTCTCACCTACCCTTCCAGTTCCACTCTGCTGTCTGCCCCGGGAGACTGACCTTAATGGACCACAGCAGTGGGTTCCTAGGCCACTTGGCTTCTAGATGGGTTTGGCCAGGTCACATCCTAGCTAATGATGGTCAGGGTGTATATTCTCTGGCTCTTCCCCAGTGGGGCTGCCTCCGCAGTCAGGTCACCACCTCACCCAAACTTCCCTTCACCACTCCACATTCTTTAACTGAAGATAATGTTGTGATGCCACGAATCTGGAATTTCTGAAGCAGCTGTGCATCCTCTATATCCCCCGTTTCCACACTTCTGTATAATATCCTCAAACTATAAGAACTGTGTTTCCTGTAGAAAATAAAACCAGTAAACCACAGAGAAATGAAATTTACTTCTTCATTAGATCCTTGTCATCAAACACATTAGAAAGGAGACCCCAGGTTTACAAAATTTGTCCTGAGAGTTTTGATACTTGAATTTGTGTTCTGTTGGATACCTATGCAGATTACTAGGAAACTTGTCTACTCCACTTTTCCAACCTCACCCAGAGACTTTCATACTAACTGCATGACTTCTGTCAAGATGAAATTTCAGTATGGGAGAGTACATTTTTTCTTAGGTTTTTAGTTTCAGGATTGTTGAAAAGGCCTATGATCTTAACTTAGCATGGCATTAGAAACAGAAGGCTTATGTTTCCTTGAGTCAGATCATCACACTTTGGTCTCATTTCATTTTCAAGAAATGGCCTTAGATCCATTTTTTTGTGCCATGGACAAACCTCAGAATAATGTTAAAAAATGCTGTATGGTCTGCAAAGTAAAATGCATTTTAATAATGGAATTATTTTAAAATTATGTAATTGGCAAAACATGTTAAATTTGATAAGTAATACGTGTGTATGTGTAAGTTTAATGTAGGAAGGGGTCTAAACTGTTATAAGTAGCATAAATAGATACCTGCAACAAATATATAAATAGATATCTGATAAGAAAATACCTGGTGTCTGTCATTGACAAAGTCAAAGATAACTACTAATACAACTTTGGGTTGTTGTCTGTTTTGTTTTGTTTGTTTTTGGTACTGGGGATTGAACTCGGGACCTTATATTTGCAAGGCAGGCAGCAGAACCACTGAGCTAAATCCCCAGCCCTTGGGTTGTTGTCTGTATGTATAATCAAAGGAAATGCTGAGTTTCAGTGGTGGTCTAGTGAAAATAATTTTTCCTCATTTGTTAACATATCCAATGAATTCTGTTCTTAAATCCTTTAGAGGTCTGTGATCTACAAGAAATCCTGATCTAACTAATTAGATCCACCGTTGTTTCAAACAAGTGTGACATTATATTCATTATCACAAATTAGCAAGTTATGTGTACTGTGTATTTTTAAAAGACAGATTCTATATCACTTGTAGATAAACAGATTGTAGAAATGTTTCTCAGTGTGAAGTCGGGCATTGTTACAGTTGGGATCTAGAATGTCCCCCAAAGTCTCATGTGTTGGAGACTTGGTCCCCTGTGCAGCAGTGTTTACAAGTGGGGCTGTTGGGAAGTGATAGAATCATGAGGGCTGTGATCTCATCAGCAGATTCATCCATTGATGGGTTAAATTAAATGGACTATTAGGAGGTGGCTGAAGCTGTGGGGGGGGCATTGGAGGAAGTAGATTCCTGGGGACATGTCCTTGAAGGTGTCCCTGACCCTTTTCTCACTCTCTTGTTTCCTGGCTGCCAGGAGTGAAGCAATCTCAACAGATTTCCATCACCATGATCTCTGTCTCACCTCAGGTTCACAGTATTAGAGCCCAAAGAAATCATAAGCCAAATTAACCTTTCCTCCTTGAAGTTGTTTTTCTCAGGTATTTTGTCACTGCAATAGCTGACTAACATAGCAATACTGACATTACCTTTCAATCACTCAAGAGACTTGGAGAGTAATTAACACGTGCCAAGCATTGTGCAATAACAGAACTCCAGGAGTTAGTTTAGTGAGAGAGACGAGTATTTGTGCAAACGACTGCAATAAAATGTTGTGTGATGTCAAGAGTATCTATGACATGCTTATGGGACCACATAAAAGAGTGCCCAGCAAAGACTGGCAAGGTGTAGAAGGGGATCCTACAGAAATCTCATGATCTTGAAGGCATTAATAAAAGAGCCAATGCAGCTAGATGAGCTAAGAGACAATGGGGTGATCCTGACATGTTCCTGGAACTAAAAATAGAAAATAGATGCATCTAAAAAGCAATCTGGCAAGTAGTACAGGTGGTAGATCATTGCCTAAAATCTCTTCTTTTGGAAAAACATTCCTTTCCCTTTCCCTTC